AGGTTCTAAAAAGCCATCGTCCACAGACAAATGACGGGGTCAGAGGTCTTACACAGGGAGCACTATCAGCTGGAACAGCACTGTTTGATGGAGGAGAAGGTATGATGGGAGGCTTTAACAAAGCAAAAAAAAAAAAAAAAAAACATTTTCTATATGCAATGCTGACCACAGACTCATTCCATATCATAGTTCTAGCAAATTGCCCAAACTTCTGAGCGAGAGATATATTTCCTGAGCTCCCCTATTCCCCGAAGCATCCTTTCCACAGCTATCCATTTCCCCCTGGTGCCTCAAGAGAGGAACTGCTGCTGAACCACTGCGGCCTTTCATGGGGGGAGAATTCACCGGCCGACTCATGGGCTCCAACGCTGACGAAAGCCTAAAACTGTGAATTATCCCGGCTATCACCCGCTAGACGATGAGATGCACGCACACTGCACGGAAAGGGTAAACAGTAACCCCTTTATTTGTCAGGATGCATTCTCTGCCACCCTGTGTCTGTGTGCTGCACCCCCCCACACACCTCCTCATCCCCGGATCATATTTGTCCATCTGCCTGCCACGCCGATGGAACATTCCAAAAACGGCTGCTGTGCAATCTATCTCAATTTTCCAAATCTATTAACTTTCTTTGTGTGGCCTGCCTCTCCTCGAGCCCGATCTTTAAAAGTCGTGGTTGTTCAACAATTATGATAACTGCAACAGGGGGAATTAGAGAATCCACCCATTCATCTCTCTGCCCCTCCTCCGCACAGACATGACGCGGCTAAATGAAAAATGGACACGCTTTAAGAAGTATTGATTCCAGCTTTAAACAAAGGTACAGTCAATATTATTTACTCCTAAATATATCTTTGTTATCTGCGCTGGAGTCGTAGTTACTGCTCTGTCCTCCTAATTGCGGACATAAAAATAATAGACCAATTCCCTCCGAATTGACCGAGACAGGTTTGGTTGTGGCACTTGTCCTAGTGATGCATATCCTGGGTGTAAATGAATGTGTGAGCAAGGTTTTCCTCTGACAACTGCCCCATTAGAGGAAGAGATATATTCTGAACCAAACAGAGAATAAAAGGCAAGTGACACGGTGAGATTAAAAAAAACTGAAACTACAATTCATTTCAAAGGTAATCTGAAACACTAAAAAGGCAATTATCTTCTTTCCATTATTGCTTTTCGTGCCCTTTATTATTTTAAAAATTGTGTTTTCCTTCTCAAACACTTTTGTTATGTATAGTTTTTGTTTATTGGGGGGGGGGGGTCTTTTGAGAAGCCCCCTGTGGTTTCTTCTCCCATGTGTAAAATCCAAGTTTGTTTTGTTTTTTAATTGTAGATTCTTTTTTTCTGCCAAGCCAAACTTCTTCCAGGCAAAGCATTTGAGTTTATTATGCAAGTCTGTTGTTCTTTTTGTAGACACACTACAAATACAATGACACATTACTTTCGCATTTATTGGCAATGTTCAGAATACAGTTTTACAAAGCAAAAAAGGAGTAAAGCACCACTTGCTTGTAACTTCCCGCTTTGACAAATCGAACAGTACAGTTTTTCATATATGCCGTATCCTACCAGAATACGATTCTCAGTATTTGTAGTGCATCATGCTGTGCGGAAACAAACAAACAGCTGAATGGATCCTCACTTGAGCGTTCAGGGTGCACACGGCTCGCACATCAAACATCCCTTCACAGATCAACCTCAGATTACAAACTGTGAACTCACTGCGTCTTCCCCAAGTGTCTTCTCTAATGCTCGTCTCCAGATTACACGAAGCTCGCCTCACACTGGTCGTATTTGCGTGGCCTCTCATCGGCGTGGGCGTGATAAGACCTTTCTCCAGCATGTTGTTGTGCGTGTGCCTCAAGTACGTGGCCAGCTGGTACCACATCGGCACTTCTTTTGATGGATCCTCCGGTGATATTTATCCTTGCTGATGACGCTCTTTACACATTCTGTACAACTGAAGCCTTCCCCAGAATGCAAATGGTTTTGTTTGTGTTTGCTATAAGATCATGGACATTATGCTGTGAGCTGCACCAAAGTCTGGCAAGCAGAGCACTGAGGATGGTTAAGTACTAGAGAGTACTTTGGGGACTTGTCTAACTATACCATAGTGCTCGTCCCGGTGATGATACTGGACCTGCTGCTGTAGGAAACCAGTGGAGGAGATGATGCAGTATGGACAAAGGTGGAACTATGGGATGTCCTGCAGGGACAAAGCTGGAGAGAGAAAGAGTGTACCGATGAATAACTTGGTATTTAGTCGTGGCCTTGACAGAATTTGAAAGGCAGGTAATACTTAATGAATATATGAGTAAATACCAGGTAGAACGACCCGGGAAAGACGTTTGCTTCCTTGGTCAACAACAGTTAATGGACACAGGTTCAGGACCCTGCTGTGACTTCTATCCCCCTGCAGTCAGAACCAATGATTGGCCTGTGACCAGGGGCTTTAGTCAGGGAGCTTCAAAAACTATCAGCAAGAGCAAAACCAGGACTAAAGTTGTTTAGTGTGAACGCGGCATTAATCAAACAACTATTCAAATACTGAGCTCATTACCAGAAAATAAATTAAATCACTTAACTGTCCATGTAATATCTCCACTGTAAAAACAACTTTGCACTGACCACTTCTAAGGTGACCACAACCAGGAACCATACTGACATGAGGTCTTATGTAACTGTGCATGGTTTAGTGGCGATGAAAGGTATTTAGGCATTGATGGTGAACAACAGTCGAAACTAATTATTTCTGGTTTCATCGTGGTGTCAGCACATAACTTACTTTACTTAAGATCAGCAGCAGGCTAACATACACATGAAAGTCTGTAGCTTTAGGGATGCAGAGATTCACTGTTCATTTCAGAAGCAAGAAATAGCAGTAACTGCTTATTTATCTGCCAGAGTTGGTCCTTTTATCCGATTTGTTGAAGGCACGGCAGTGAACAATATTTTTTTAAACAACAAAGACATTCTTGAAAGGTTTAATAATCAATTACAATTGTCAAAACAAATCTGTACTGGTCCAAAGTGTACATTCTAATGAGTCAGAAATAAGCTTTAAAAACTCTTCAATGAAGCATAGCTGCTCTGAGGAGGATTAGTAAAGATTAGATGTGAGGTGGCTCACTTGATGTGTTGCTTTCCACGGCTGGTGGCGTCTCCTCGTAGTGTCCAGTTAAGCACTCGGGGTCTGCTGGCTCCTCTTTGACTTGTTCACAGTTCAAATAATTCCATCTCGTGCTCTCCTGTTCATGTTTCACACTTTTCTCTACGTTGTGCCGTGCAGCGTTCCGGGCGTCCTCATCATGTTGTTAATAAGGGACAATTACTTTTGTTTTTAGAGTGCTCTTACCCTTGTTGGTAGTTTGGCTTGTGGAACTGACAGTCAATTATAGTTTGCACAGTTTGGTGTGTGGGGCCGACCAGATGACTTGGGAGAACAGATTAATCTGCCAGCCAACGATAATTGTTCGTCGCCTACCTCAGGTGTTCAGTCCTCGGTGTGTGGAGTCTTTTGAGGATGTTGAAGTCATTTTACCTCCTCTTCAGTGGACAGGACATCTATAGACCTACAGACAGAGAAAGCAGAAGCCAATTAAATACGTGCTATTATGCAAATAGGAACATCATCTTATTTGTGATTTTTCATTATACACATGTTCTAGCTGAATTCACAATATATTATATGACATTTGATTCAGAACACCAATTAAGCAATGCGTTTGACTACATCTGTCATTGTATTGTCATGGTGAATGTTTACATTACTGCCAATGTTTCTAGTTCCGTGCAAACACACTGAGGCTGTTCTCAACACTTATCAGCAGCTGAAATGAATTTAAAACTTCTGGGAATAAATTTCAGTCTCTTAACTGGACTGTTGTGAATCAAGGTCCATCTTTTCTTTGATATATCTTGTTTAAATTGCCTGAATGCCGCTAGAGGTCTCTGTATATTAAGTTATATTATATCTTGCTGTAAGTGAGAAGGTACTAATGCATGCAGTTATGAATGCCACTCTCCCATGCATGTGAATTAAAAGCATTACTATACAATCAAAATGTGTCATATCCCCTCAATGCATGTTAATACAGAGAGGCTATTGATTTCATGACAAACAGCAGAGGCCAATTCACAGTAAACATGTGATGCAATACCACGTACTAGGAAATACAAAAGCCTTAGACTAGTTCGTAAATAAAGCATGTAACGTTACATTATATATACACACCAGCACTTACTTACGAACCAGGCATTTGGCGTTCGGTGGGAGGAGTTTAAACTGACCTCGTGCAGTGCTGAGAAGTTAAAACGTGGCACCAGACTAGTGACTAAATGTTTGCTGCTTGTGTTCATGTTGCATCAGCCTCAGTATGAGCTTCATCTTGTGTCTTCATCTGAGTTGTGTGGCATTAAGTTGGCCAACTGGTGTCTGCGATGTTTTAAACATTTAAAAACAGGAAACTCATTTGACAAATGGTGGGACGCTAACTGACTTTAAGGCGACACAAACTCTGGTACCTGAACGTGCGTACGGCAATGACAACATGTGTGGTCTTCCTGCTAAAATAACAACGAGCACGTTTTTGACGTCCGCCTGTCCCTCGCGGGCGGAGCTTATGCGCTTAAGGCTATAATTAAAGAAATGATCCGCCTCTCCGGGATACAATGTGCATCAACACTCAGTAAATTGCAGCGTTAACAAATAGAGCAGCATGCAAACTTTCAGAAGATTTAAACTTTTGTCTTCATGTCCCACAGACATTAGAAAGGTTGTGATTTTCGGGATATGTCAGACAAGTGTAGTCTGTTTTTAATATGGAGATTCCTATTATAACACAATGATTGACTCCTAACCCCAAGGTTAAGGAACGTTGTGTTATAAAGTACACTTATCTCATTATAGGTAAGATAGTAAACCAGTTAAATACAGAGTCTAATAAGGTAAATTCATAGCTGCAAGACCAACAAATGACAGCTTCTCCAGAACAACAGAATAAGGGGTTCATTCATGTTTAATGTGAAGGGGAGTGGGACAATCACAATTCATCAACCATCAAAAAGCTCCTTTTACCGGAGTCCCCATTCCAACGTTTTACTCTTCAGTGTTACTAAGCTTCATTTTTTTTTAAATCTTACTTCAAAGAACTGTCTCAGATTTGTCAAAAACACCCATTAAAGTCAGCAATCTGTTTTTTGTTTTTTTCTTTTTACATTTTTACAAGCCACATCTCCAGTTTTTCCAATTGTGCACAAATGCCTCAAAAAAATGTGGCCTCTCCCAGTAACACAAAGTACACTATCATCACACACAGTGTTCATGCATTCATCAAATAATTTATAACATTACCACAAATACTACAGCAGTGATCTATTCTGTGGGGGAACATTTCAATTCATTATTTAGTTTTCCATCTGAACTCTGCCTCGTACTATGATCTCAAGCCTCCGTGACGGGATAGTGTTTAAAAAAAAAAAAATGTTCCATGCGATAACAAACATGAAGTTTAGAGTGTTACAGAAAGTTCATATAAATAATCATATACAGTCACAGATTTTTACTTTAGCACATTCACTAGCTTGGTAGAAGGCTGTATATAGCTTCCAATAGCTACCACAGCTTATTTACAGGTCTCTCATGAAAGCTCAGCGACATTTAGCCACGTGCCCAGAAAGATGGTGCGAGCGAGCGAACCTGCGGAGGCAGTTGGGGCACGAATATGGCTTCTCCCCCGTGTGAGTTAACATATGTGTTTTCAAATGGCCTGACAAACGGAAGCTTTTCTCGCATTCCTGACAAGTGTAGGGACGCAGGTTAGTGTGACTCCTCCGGTGCTTGCCCAGATCCCCAGAGGAGGTGTAACAGTTGTGGCAGTCTGGGCACTCATAGGGCTTTTCCCCAGAGTGGCTCCTCTTGTGCTTCACCAGGTCGCCAGACTGAGTGAAGCTCTTGTCGCATTCGTTGCATTTGTAGGGTCTCTCGCCAGTGTGGGTGCGCTGGTGGTTTCGCAGATGTGCGAGGCGGATGAACCTATTGCCGCACACTGTGCAGTGGTAAGGCCTTTCTCCGGTGTGCGTGCGCAGGTGGATTTTCAAAGCCCCGAGATCTCCGATCTTCAGCCCACAGTCCCCGCACTGGTGAGCTTTCTCTTTGGTGTGGAGTTTGGTGTGAACCCTCAGGTTTCTCTGGGTGTTAAAGTTCTTCCCGCACACATTGCAGTGGAAGGGTTTCTCACTGGAGTGCGTCCTCAGGTGGAGATCCAGACTCGACTTGAATCCAAACTCCTTCCCACATTCAGAGCAAGAATATTCCTTCTTGCCGGAGTGTGTGGTTAAGTGGCACTTGAGGTGGTGCGATCTTAAAAAGGCCTTCCCGCACACCTGGCACTTGTACGGCTTCTCCCCCGTGTGTATTTTCATGTGTTGCCGCCAACCGCTGCGCTCCACGAACCTCCTGCCACAATCCTTGCAGACAAACGGCCTGTCCCCTGTATGAGTGCGCATGTGATCCTCCAGGCTTTGAGGTGTGCCCATCTTCTTGCCACATTCTGGACACTGCACACCGACGTCCAGACAGATGGGCTTATCCTCAGACTCTGTGCTAAGCGGTTCATGACACAAATGAGGCCCTTGACCCCAGGTGGCTTTGAAACTCTTCCCACAGTCGGCGCAGCTTAGGAACCCCCCTCCGGCAACCACTGACATGTTGTGCCAACGCTGACAGTGGTTCTTCAGGTTCTTCAGGTACTGGAAGCTGCGTGCACAGGTTGGACAGGGGTGAAGTCTGCGGGGAGGGGCAGAAGGGTGGGCTTCACGGACATGGACCCGAAGGTGTACTTTGGATTTAAAGGTGCTGCTGCAGACGGTGCAGGCGTGTTTAGGGATCAGGTTTAGTGTGTGGCTTGAGAGGCATTTTTTCAGCTTGGCAAGATATTCTTTCTGATGGACCCACTTGACATGCTTCTCCAAGAAGTCCAAGTCAGTAAAGGAGACGGTGCAGTGAGGACACGGATAGAAGTCAGATGATGACTCTACGTAGGAGAGGAAGACACACACACAGAGAGCAGAGCGCATCAAAAAAAGGTCCGTTATACAGACAATCTAAAATGTACTGATTTAAAGTTATGAGAAACAAATACAAGCTATTGCAGGTACTCAAAAATGCACATTTTTTATGCTGACAAGATATCAAAACTATGCTTTTTAAAAGGGGAAAACTGGCTACATCTGATATCCTGCCACTGTATTAGTGCAACGAAAAAGAAAATGTAAAACACAGTGCATATTCTGTCTAAGAACTGCATATTTTCATAAAGAACTGGCTCCTACCTGTGCAGACCTCCTCTCCCTCCCCATGGTCTTCCTGGATGTTGTCTGTCGCCTCCTGCTCGTCGCCTCTCTCTTCTTTAATCCATGACTCGGACTCCTCCTTCACAGCAGCTTCACATTCTGGCTGCTGGTCTGAGTCACACTCCTCCTTTACGCCTCCCTGTTGATGCTCCACGTCTGACCTGAACGCAGCGGTGTCGGGCTTAGTGTCTAAACAGCTGGATGAGTCTCCATTGTGCGCCTCGCTGATCTCCTGTGACAGTGGTTCCTCCTTGATTTGGATGTTAAGACCACCTCCACGAGAGCCCTCCTCATCCTCCAGCTCAGTTTTAACCCCGTCCACATCGTGTGGTTTCTCTCCTCTCTTGGCTCTGTTCTTGGCAGGTTTTATCTTCATATCGTCACCATTAGGTGTTCGTCTCCTTGTTGCGCTGTGGACCAGAGGAACACATTGTTACAGCTACACACAAGGCATTGCAAGCGATACTAAAAACAGAAACAAGCGTGCATCTCATCTGTTATCTAACGTTAGCATCGAAGCTAAGCTACGCGACCACTAGCCTAGCACTGTGGATCATTCACTGCTTGTTTTTCTTGGTTTTTCTTGGTGTACGTTCAGCGGTGCAGCTGTCGGCGTCATTCAGCCGTCAAAGATAAAAACATACCGGTGAAACTTCGGCGATTCAGCCCCAACGCTGCTATATAAACATGTAAGCTTTACGTTTGCACTGAACTGGCTACATTAGTGTGTAACGTTGGTGACAATAACACAGGAAGAGCGGATCCACTTCCTGTGGTTGTGGCCAACCAGCTCAGACCACTGGCTCGTGGTGTCCAGTCCCACGACGTCATTAAAGCGACAGTAACTATTTAAGTTTTATTTTTTTTATTTATTCTCAGGGACAGCAAAACACGAACAACCGAACAACGACTTTTTAATTACTTAATTGATTGAAACATATTTAGAATCAGATCTTGCCACAAGCTAAACCTTTCATTTCTTTTAAAGTAGTTAGCAATATAGGTCAAGAGTATCTAAAACACACTTCAAAACATTAACTGAAATCTATTGTGCAATTAATAAATTATTAATATTGATCCTATTTCATTATGATAATTTTTGTCGTGTAACCTTTGTTTAAGCTGTGACGTCTGATTGATATTGATGTACATTGGTTTTGTTCATAAAGATTAAAAACAAAACCAATACAAAACTGCCACGAGCGAACATTTCCCTTGCGTTAAGAATTGTCTTCAAAGACATAAATCTTTGTATTTTAAGATCTATTAACTAGCAAACTGTCAGATTCAAATGAGATTCTTAATTATTGTTCAATTTGAAACAAGTGTGCTAGGGAGATGCAGGATAATACAGGCCTACAGTGCTAAAAATTGAAGTTCTTCAATTATTTAAAATAACCTACAGTAGATTTTAGGTTAGTCTTAATAAAAAAGAAATTCACATTTCCAACACAATTTTGTATTAACATCCCAGTACTCGACCTGTATTTCCTCAATCTCATGTCATAACTGTCCTTTTATAATCAACAAATAGTATTAATACAAATTTAGGAAAAAACAGTTTTGTCCTCTGAACAAAACAAACTCAGTCATGTTCCACAGACTTTATTTCAGCCGACTCAGGACAGAATCTTGATACAAACTTCTGTACAACACTGTTCCCTTCTTTGAAAACGAGAAACAAACACAACTAAAGTTATGTACAAAAATATGTTAAAAAAGAACATACACAAAGATACGAGACAAAAACAGAAAAAAAAACATATTAATGCTTTTTTGTGAAGGGTTGTTATAAATAGGGACAGTATTAATTTGAGCTCTAGTTTGCTGAACTATGCTGTGAGTATTCAGTTCATGATAAAACAGTCGTGCGATCATAATTTTGTTCATTCGATAAGAAGCCAGTAGCATCACTCTAGAGTTCATCCATGACACTGTGGACGACTTCCCCTCTGTGTTTCACGTGAACAATGGGGCTCATTGCCTCCATGTAGTGCAAAAAGGAAAACAAAGAGGAAACAAATGTCAAACAAACACCAAACAGTGAACCAGTAATTCAGTCTCATTGCAAATAAAAATGCTAAAAAACAAAAAATCTCTCACCAGGAGAACTCTTTCCATTATCATTGTAATTTCAATAGAGTAACATTTTCGGTACTGTACTTTTTCTTAACCACATCCATTTCTTCCTGTAAATCAAATCATAGCTATGATTGGCTAATACAATCATCTAAGCAGACAAGTTGCCTGAAAAAAGCAGTCCAGCAAAACTAGCCAAACACCAACATACATTTCATGTAATCAAATGTTTCAAGAAGGACACGCGTCTTCATTTTGACGGACGAGTTCAGTCGTGTTACTAAATTATTACCGTCAGGAACTGAACACTAATAAAAACACGATCCTTCATCTTTTTCCCCCTTTCTTTTCTTTTTTTTTACAAAAACAATTCATGAAACAATATGTAACATATGTTACCGTTATTAAATGTAAGCCGGTCGACTCACAGACAAGGCAAGAAGTGAAGGCAGAAAGCGCAAATAAAAGTGTAACAGAGCAGGTGAATGAATATGCAAAAACACACTCGGGAGTCTGTTCAACATAGACGTGTAGCTGAGACGCCTGCCATATACCGAGTTACAACTATAAATCAGTCATCGACGAGGATATAAAAACCATCTCACAAGCAACTTTGACTTTTTGTTTTTTAACTGCGCTAAGCTCACAATCAAATTCTTGCACATTATGCTGAAACCAATTTAAGTGTCTTTTGTTCTCATTTGCCATTTTTTGATTGTCACTTTTTGGGATATAAAGCACATGTTGGTTCCATAGAGAGCGGCTGTATTCTTTTTTTTTAACACCTCTGTTGGTCAGCGAGAAGAGTTTTGGCAACAGTCCAGCTTCAGTCTTTTTAGGAGACTGACTATTGAATGTGCTCACACCTCTTCTTTAGTGACCACAGACGGGATGCGACATTGTTTTGTTGATACGTAAAGCAGTTGTAGTGCATTCTAGAGACAGATGGCTTGGTCATGTGAAGCACTGAAATACAGTACAGCAATACATAAAACAATAAAAGACACTTAATTCATGATACAGTGTATGTACAACTCTGTTCAAACAGCTCACGTTAACTGACTCGGACGTAACTCTTTCTTCTGGACTTTGTTTTTGACTTACAGCTTTCAAAAAAAAAAAAAAAATCTCATATCAAACACTTTACAGATGTATCCCATCTCTTTTATCTCTGTCCTCTTTAAATAATATTGTTGCTTCCCTACATAGCCATAGTGGTCAGGTGTTGATGCCCCAGCAGCCCCTTGCGCCCTCCTCCGGCCCCTGGGTGCCCCCCTCCATTGCCATGGCCACAGTATTCTTGCAGGTTCTGACGCAAAGTAACCAGTGCGGAGCCCAGACAGGCACGGTTTGGAGCCAAGACACCCCCGGGCAGCTGGAAGAGGACAGTGGCCACTCCAGCCATGCCGTCATCTGTGGGCTCCAGGGTGATGGGCCCGACCTTAAAGGTGGAGTAAGAGAAGCCCATGAGCTGAGAGAGGAAGGGGTCGGAGCGGCAAAAGTGCTGGTAGCCGCTGTACGTGGATGGGTGGTGGTGGTGCGAGGCCGGGGTGCCAGACGTGGTGCTGGCATAGTGGTGGGTGTTCAAGTAGTGCAGAGGCAGGTGCTGCCCACCGTTGCCCCCTCCACCCAGGGTGAGGTGGTGGTGGTGGTGGTGGGCTGTGTGTCCGGAGCCCGAGTCATGTTTGCAGGAGACAGCTCCCGCCCTGCCCCTCTGGCCCACCACCACTCCTCCTAACTTACTTGTGCGGGCATGAGCGAGCGATACAGTGCTGCCCCCCACCACCCCTCCACCAGCTGAAGGCAGGTAGATGAGCTGAGGCTCCTCTGGCTCAAAGTATATGGTGAGTTTAGCGAAGGGCCTCGACGCCATCTTGGTCATCTCCTGGATGTGGCGACGCTGCTCCCGACGGAAGTCCAGGAACTGCTTCACCTTCCACAGGAGGACGCAGACAGACAGGAAGAGGAAGAAGCAGGAGAAGAAAACGGAGAAGAAGACAAAAAGGTCGATGTGGGCTTGGTCTTGTCGCAAAAACAACAGGCCCTGGGATTCTCCCTGTCTGTCGTCAGTTCCCACACCTCTCAGAGCGATGTAGAAGCGGCTGGATTTCAGGGAGTGCACCTCATGGGGGAAGGTGATGACCACGCGATCTCGAACACTACGGACGATCATCACCGTCTGTGGTTTCCACACAGTGATATAGGTGATGAGTCCTCCCGCCCGGTCCTCTGTAATCTCTCTCTCTGCCCCGGGGACTTTTGCTTGCAGCTGCAGTGGGTTATGGGAGAGCACGGGACCCCCGAGACTGGACGAGGCGTTGGCAAACACCTTTATGGGGGACGGAGGTGAATCCTTATCGACACCAGCCGTTGTCCCCCGAGTCACCGATTCCTCCTCGATCCTGATGGTGTGAATCCCTGTGTATCGGTCTACATCCACAATGAAGATGTCATGAGAGTTGGACACGTACACCTCCACCTCACCAAAGGTAACATCAATGGTAACTCGAATGTCCACATTGGTGAACTTTGGCTGCGCAGAGAAAAACACAGTGCGCCCTTTGGGCAGGTTGCGAATGGTCGGATCATGGAAGCAGTTGGTCTGGGACGTCGGGTCGAAGCAGCACTCTGTGTCCACGTTGAACTGACGGTAGCACTGACGCCCGTTCACCGGTGTGCCATTGAAGGAGTCCTTGCACTTGGCACACTGAGTAGAAGACAACAACCAATACAGTTTGAGCAAACACGGCAATGAATAGGAGAGGGCCACAAACGTATTTCTCTGTTCAAAATATTGCTTTTATCAACGCAGAGACAGAAAATCAATGATTATATAATAACAACGACCACCTTCTGTGTGTAGAAGTGAAACACCTTTTTCTATATTTGATGTGCATAACTAGAGCTGGGTGATATCATCAAAAAAATACAACAACGTCTCGGGTTCATGCTTTTCTATATCGGTTCTATCGTAATGTCAATGAAAGACCTGCGGCCAATATTTACATCACTTGGACGGCGCTTACACGATGATTTAACAATCAGTGAGGTTATGGAGGCTACATACACCTCACATGCAGTTGATTCAGACCAGGATGTACATGTATACACTTTTATAGGCCTCAATGTCTCTGACCTGTCCTGTAAAATGCATCAGATGTTTTTGATTTTTCCCTTAAGTTCTGAACAAAATGAGAAAATACTCAGTAGACTTCATTTGTATTTCATTCACAAAGTACAAAATAAAAATGGGCTTTTCTATGTGGTCATTTCACATAGACTATGTATTTATTGAATCACAGGAAAACATGCTATATTGTGATATTTATTGTATATTGAGATATCCAATGACCTATAATCGGGACAGAATATTGTGGCCTTATAGCCCCGCCCCATGTATACCTGTTGCCTGTAGCAGTCTTTCCGGTCACTCTGAGGGCTGCTGAGGCAGGAGGACGTCTCTGTGTTGTTTTGGCAGGGGCATCCTGTACCATCATGCTCATTACACGTGTCTGCATGGCCGTTACACTGACATCTGCAATGAAAAGTATTTATTAGAAGTCTGTTGCCTCTACAAGCATTTTTGCTGATTGTACTTTTGCAACATTTGCACATCCTATTCATCTACTTTATACGCATGGGAACATTTCCATCTCATTACTAGCATTTTTTTTGTTACTGTAAGACCAGATAGAA